CAGCTTGTCAAAGTTTGCCTGGAACTTTCCCTGTTTTTATCGTCAAAGCTTTTAATTCCCATCCTGGGAAACTCATCAGTCCCAGGCCAACTGTGATGCTTGTTTATTCCTTATACCTATGGAGCTGACTCCATTGGAAATACATTCTCAGCACACCATCCCTTCATCAATGTCCCTACACCTTGAAATTATTCACAAACTTGTCTTTCAGTTATGTCAGCTCCCAAAGGCTCCTCATGTATCTACTCTGAGACAGGCTGTCCCTTTGCAAACACACATACAACTAGGCTGGTGGGAACCCTGAAAGTAGCTGAAATGTTCTAGTGTGCATTTTCAACCTTCACTGAGAATGAACAATTCTTTTTTTCCTTGATTTAATCTTTACAGTATTTTTTCCACTTACCATTTAGTCCTCTTATACTCCCTTCCCCCCAGCAGTCACCACAATGTTGCCTGTGTCCATGAGTTCTTTTTCCTTTTTGCTCAATCCCTCTACCCCCTCACTTGTCCCACTAACAGCTGTCATTCTGTTCTCCATCTTTGAGTCTGTCCCCATTTTTCTTGTTACCTCAGTTTGTTCATTACATTCCACATATGAGCGAAATAATATGGTATTTGTCTTTCTCTGACTGGCTCATTTCACTTTATCTTTGAACTTGGTTCTTCTCATCATTTTTTAGACCACAAGTACTTTACCAATATATTTGGTCATTTTATTTTATATTTTTGAAGATTTTTTTAAATATATCCTTCCACTTAGGTATTCATCCAAAATTGTTTTCAATGTTTGTCTGTTTGGATAAATAAATCCTTAAGTATTTATGCCTCTAAGAATATTTTTATCATGGTCTAATATGTGGATGACATTTGAGCTGGATATAAAACTGTTTTAAGTTCTTTTCTTTTAACCTTTTAATTTTTTGAAATTCATTTGCTTTTATTATTTTTTATTGTTGTTCAAGTACAATTGTCTCTATTTTCCTACCACCCCTTTCCCCCACCTCACTTACACCTGCCCTCAGTCCTTCTCCCCTTCAGCTTTGTCCATGGCTCCTTCATACATGTTCCTTGATGACCCTTCCTTTTCTTACTGATTCACTTTCTTCTTTCAACTAATTTTACAATTGAAAAATCTTATGTAAATCAGATTCTTGTTATTTTGGACATAATTTTTTTCTATATAGGCTTTTAGATTTTTTCTTTATCATTGTATATGTATAAATTTTTATAAAATATATCTAGGTTTAGGTTTTTCTATATTATTTTTCCTTGTCATTCTTTTATTTTAAAGATTTGATGTATTTATTTTTAGAAGGAGAGGAAGGGAGGGGGAAAAAAGGGAGTGAAACATAGATGTGTGAGAGAAACATCAATATATGTTGCCCCTCGGGCTTTCCCCAATTAGGTACTAGCTACAACCCAGGCATGTTCCCTGAGCAGGAATCAAAACAGTGACCTGGTAACCTTTCACTTTGTGGTAAGACACCCAACCAACTGAGGCACATTGGTCAGGGCTCATTGTCAATCCTAAGCCCTTTGACTTTTTTTGAAATAAAAAATTAAGAAATAAAAAATAAAATAAAATAAATAAAAGACTTTAGTGTTTTATTTAGTATTGATTCTCAGAAATATATCTCCATTATTCATTAAAATATTTTTTCTTCCCATTTTATTTTTCTTTCTCTGAGATGATAATCTTTGTATTTAATTCTAATGATTTGATCTTCTGATTATATTTTATTTTATGTCTTCTAGTTCTTGGTCCATTTCTTCATCCTCCTGAGAGATTAATTTGGTTTTATAATTTATTAATTTCTTTATTCTTTTTTTAGTGTATACATTATGCTTTATTTTCTTGTACAGATTTTTTTAAAGTATTATATTTTCACACTTCTTATTTTTGCTTGATAATTTTGGAGAATTTTATTTTAATTGTTTTTATTGTGTATTATAAATTATTACAAATATATATTTTAAAGAATTTACATGGCTAAGCCCTGGCAGGTGTAGCTCAGTGGATTGAGCATGAGCCTGTGAACCAAAAGATCATGGTTTTGATTCCCAGTCAGGGCACATGCCTGGGTTGCAGGCCAATTCCCAGCAGGGGCCAGTTCCCAGCAGGAGATGCACAAGAAGCAACCATACATTGATATTTCTCCCCCTCTCTCCTTCACTTCCCTTCTAAAGATAAATAAATAAAATTTTTTTAAAAAGTTAAAAAAAAGAATTTACATGGCTAATTTAAGAACTTTGTTTCATGAAATTATTTATTTTTATTGCTTCTTTGGATGTTATTTAAAAATTATTTTTTATACTTTTATAGAGGGGAAGGGAAATAAATGTGCAGTTGCCTCTGGCATAGCACCTACTGGGGACTTGGGCTACAACCCAGGTATGTGCCCTGACTGGGATCCAAACCAGCAAGCCTTTGGTTCACAGGCCTGCACACAATCCCCTGAACCACACCAGCTGGGGCATCTTTTGATGTTATTTTTAACGCTGCATGTTGCTATGATATTTATGAGCTGTGAGCTCATTTTCTTCAGGGAATATTGGCTACTGTGAAAGGCAACTATATGTGGAAAGGTCAGATCCCTACCTTTTTCATACTCTATGATCTCAGTAGTGAAAATGTGCATAAAACCACTGTCAATTATTTCTCTACTCAAAGCAACTTCTTAGATAATGAGTTTAATTTTTACTAGTAAGAAGTATTGTCTTGAGGAGAACATTCTCCCTTGTTGAAAATATTTTATAATAAATTATTTTATATGCATTTAAAATTTTTAAAGATTTATTTTACTTATTTTTAGAGAGAGAAGGGAGGGAGAGAAACATTGATGTGTGAGAGAAACATCAATCCATTGCCCGTTGATTAGTTTTTTGTTAATAATATGTTCTAATATTTCAAGTCAAAGCTTTGGCTTTAGTGAAAAGAATAATAAATATTATTACATAATAAATATTATTCTTTTAAACAAGGATAATAAATATTTCCTCATAAAATATCCATTTGCCAACTTATTTATAAAACAAACACTAAGACTTTATTGCCTAAGCGAATTATATCAATAATTTTGTGAAAACTAAATATAATTTTGCTTTGTAAGACCTTTCAGATGTGTATTTAATATCTAAATATTCCCTAACAGTATACTTGTATATATTTTAATGGAGAAAGGCACGTTAGATTATATGAAATGTGTGATACTTGTGTAATGATAGTCAAAAAGTGATTAGCCATTTACATAAAATAGAGTAGTACTTATAGCATAAAATTAAATAGGATATTAATCATTGTGCTTTTAGTGTATAAATTAGACAATAACCAAGGTTAGTAGAAGATGTAATATACCTGTGGTGAAGCAAGATTAGATTCATTATCAGAATTTCAGCCCCATTTCTAAGACTAAAATCATTGATTAGGTATAGTTTGACTAGGTAATATGGACTCAGCAAAATGGTATGATAAGAATCTATCATTTTATTGTTTCAGCATATATGTAATATGATTCTTTTTTTTTCTTAAACATTTTTGCAATTTGCTGCTGCTGCTTTGAAATCCATCTGAATTCCAGCTTTTCAGAGAAAAAATGCCCTTTCTCTAGTTCCTTTTCCCTTCCTTTCCCCTTAGTGCCTGTTTTCTTGTTTGGCACAACCATTCTATTTCTCAAAGGTAAAGTAGAAATACACAATTTAGAATGGTGACACCTCAGCTTATAACCAATAGGGTTTCCCAAAAAGATCTTGGAAACATTTTTTTTTATAAGTAAGATTAAATGACTCACAAGTTAAGGAAATAACTGCTTTTAAAATTTCTCCCTACTTGTATTGTTCTGATACTAACATTCATCATCTATCCAATATGATCAACTTTGTCCCTGTTTTTCAGATGAGAAAATTGAGAAGACTTTCCTGACTTAAATAGCTCCCTTCCAAGATGCATGAAGTGCAAATCCATTTTAAAATAATGAGTTTATATAAAACAAAGATAAAGATTCCTAATAGAGTAAACATGAAAAGAACTACCATATTTTTTGGACTATAACACACGCCCCCCCCCAATTTGGGAGAAATAATGGTTGTTAATGTTGCCATTGAGTTCTGTTTACATTTACAGTGCTAAAATATTGTTATTTATGTTATGAAATATTTTACCACATTTTTTGTTTCAAAACATTTTTTTTATTTTCTTCCTCTAAAACCTAGATGTGTTTTATGGTCCAGAATATGGTAATACTTATAAATATATATCAGAATACATATGTATTCTATAGTGTCTTCATTGATACGTACATGCACTTACAGATTGACCTAATTTCCACTGTATTTTTAACATTTTTCTCTGAGAAATGAATTCAGTTTTGAATTGTATAGAAAACAGCTATCTGAAAAATTTTTCCCAACATCACTTTAAGAATTGTAATGTTGCTATAATTAGATGTAACTTTACTACAGGCAAGAGTAGTTTTAGGCTACTTTTGTTACCATCTGGAATAATTACAATAATCTAGAACATTAGATGTACAATGAAAAAAGTATGCCTTCCTGTGAGAAAAGGGAATTTCTCAATAAACAGTGTAAAACACTTCTTGACTGTGAGTGTCTGGTAGCACTAATAGTGTTAAGAAGGTTTCCAAAATGTTCAACCATTATACCTAATTTATGCTGTTCTTAGCAGCTTTGCTAATATGTATATTGATTTTTGTTCAAGTGATGTATCTAACCTTATTCATTTATAATGAGGTAATGTGATAGATCAAACTTTTATAAATTTGTAAATTGTAATCAGAATTTTCCTGCATGAGTAAACTAATTTCTTTTTTTGCTTACATACAAATAACTTTTTTAACATTTCCACAAGCATCCAATATTGATTTTAAAGTCAATGCATATTCATTTTTATTTCAGATGAAAATGGCAAATTTAAAATATACAGCCAAATATGTCAATGCCCACAGAAAGATTAATTGACCTTTTCTTTCTTTTTTTCCCTAAAGTTATCTGGCAGTATTTTGGATGTGTATAGTAGCGAGCAGGAAATTTCATCAGTTAATATGGGACTTACTAGTGCTTCCTGTCCAAGGAGTCTATCAGTGAAAAGAGAAATTACAGGTAATGTTACTTTTACCCTTTTATCCTTCTTTAGTCAATTACATAAGAATAGCATGTATTATCAAGATAAATAAAAAATTTAAAATACCAAAATTGTCAGTTAAAATAGGGGGCATTTAAGATTTAGGGTGTAACTTGTAGTTCAAATAAATTGATTTATTATTTTAGAAAATAGGCAAATATACACATATGTTCTCTCTACATACATAGATATACACACATACACATATATGCATATGAATATGTATACATATGCATATATAAGAGATACATGTATAAAACAGCTTGAGAAGTTCTTTATGTAACATAGGTTCATTTTAATATTAAATAATGCAATTTATTAGCATGATTGCAAAATAATATATTAATAGATTAGGGAAAATTAGTCCTTTTGTATGTAAAATTTGATATAAAACAGCTTGATTTTCTCTTTTTATGAATTTTATAAAGTTCAAAAAAGAGAAAATCAAATTAAAAAAAATTTTAAAAGCTTGTTTTATTCATTTTATGATGGACTCACATTTAACTTTCACAAGTGGGTAAAAACCTCTCAATTTTCAAGAATATATTCTAAAATTCTTACAACTCAAAGGCATTATAGAGACATGGTAAAATTCCTTCAATATATAGATGAGGAAATCAGGAGTCAGAGGAGTTATTTTCCACTAGTCATAAAGCTGAATAGGGAAAAATGGATCAAATAAAGATTTCTTGACTTATAAGTCAAGTTTTAGTTCCTTCATTTGCATAAAATAAAATAAGATTGAAATTAAATTAAATTAAATTAAATTAAAATTACACATTTTTAGTTGGGGGGCCAAACATTGTTTTTTAAATATTTTTTACACAGTCTAATCAATAATGCACAAATATTTATGCATTCAAATAATTTAGAGCAAAATTAATGCCTATAGCTGAAATGAACAAATTTAAGTAAATGTATTTCTATATTACCTACTTTAAAAACTAGAATAATTTAAGGGACACTGCATTAATTTATAAAAAAATACCTGAAAATTTGATAGCTTGAAATGATACTTATCTCAAATAATCTTTATGGGTCAAAAATCCAGGGGTAGCTTAGAAAGTTGGTTATAACTCAGAGTTTCTCATAAGGCTATAGTCAAGATGTTTGCTAAAGATACAGACATTTGTCCCTTAATGGGCGGGAGCGTGTGTTTCTAAGGTAGTTCACTTACAGGTCTTGAAAGTTAGTGCTGCTAGTTGGCAAATGACCTTGGTACTTAACATGTGGACATTCATAGGGCTACTCAAGTTTCATCATGACATGACAAGTGGTGATCCAAGACATCAAACTGATAGCTGAAAATGTCATTTATACCTGTTCTTGGAAGCCACACTAGTCATTTAGACAATATTATATTGATTTTACAGGTCAACCTTATTCAATATGAGAGGGAATTACCGAGTGTGTGAATGTCATGAATAATTATTGTGTGCCATGTTGGAAGATGACTATCACAAATGCTTACAATCAAATAGCATATAATGTGTTATTTACTGGCATTGTTTAATAGTAATATCTGAGAAATGTACTTAATTCCAAATTCTATAATTTGTAAATCATAATTAGTTATGAAAAATGTAGGTTGTTGCCCTGGCTGGGTGGCTCAGTTGTTAGGAGCATCAACCCAACCACAAGAGGTTGTGGGTTTGATTCCTGGTCAGGGCACATACCTAGGTCATGGGTTCTATCGCCATTCAGGGCACATATGTGAGGCAACTGACTGATGGTTCTCTTTCACATCAATGTTTTTATCTCTCTCTCTGAAAAAAATCAAAAACATATCCTCAGGTAAAGATTGTGTGTATGTGTGTTGTAAATATAGGTTGTAAAATTTAGGTTTAAATAATATTAATGTTCTGAAATAATAATAATTGAGCTGCTAAACACTTGTTGTGCACTGTTCCTCTTTTAATCATCACAATATTATATCAATTTTACAGTTGAAACGAAATTTACCTAATAAATCAGAGGGCTATTAAATGGAGGGCCAGAATACAAATCTGATATTTACTTCTCAAAGTCTAAAGGGTTTGCCATTGCCTCCTACTCAAAAAATATTTTTCTTCTGATATCTAAATATTTGCGTAAAAATACTACATTGCTTGGAATAAGTAATATTGTATTTCACTTAGTATTATTGAATTATGTTGATTAAAGGTGTAAACAGTAGAACTAAGAATTGTTTTATCTTCCTTTTATCAGAAACTGATACTCGAGCTTTAACAAAAGAGAGACAAAAAAAGGACAACCACAACCTCAGTGAGTACATTTTTCTTTTTCTTCTTTTCCAAATGAAACTAATACAAGAGAAAATTCATGGAGATTAAAATGTGTTGTTATTTATCGTGTCTCCTCCATTTTGAGGTTAGATGACCAAAATTAATAGTACATCTTACCAGTTGAGCTATTTGGAGACATTTAAATGATGTAAAATTTCGGAAAAGCTATACACTTCCACAAATTGAAACTTCTGAAATTCTCTCCTTGATCATTCTCTCTCAAGAATGTTGCATGTAATGGAGATGAGTTCACCTAGTTCAGGGTTGTCAAACCCTCATTTTCACTGGGAGCTACATCAGCCTCACAGTTGCCTTCAAGAAGCCAAATGTAATTTTAGGACTGTATAAATGTAACTACTGCTTAAGTAGGGGCAATGAGCCCAGCACTGCCACCTCAGGATGGATAAAACAAGGTGGAGGGCCAGATTTGGCCTGAGGGCCTTGTGTTTTCCACCTGTGACCTAGTTACAGTTGAACTCTATTGTGATTCATAGGATTGAATGTGGAAGGTGGTAGGTAGGGAAGGGGGAAAGTAGTAGGGGGGGAATTGCAACTGTAATTGAATTACAATAAAAAAGAAAGAATTAATAGAGTAAGGAACTGTGGGCTTCTCTTTTATTTTAGACTGCTTATCACTCTCCTTGTTTCTTCTCTCTTCTATTTCTGCAGTTTAAATAACAGGTCATTTAAGATTAAGTATGATAGATACCTTGTATGTCCATTATTAAAGTGTTTTCTAACCTGGATTCCCTTATTGAGTGATTTTGCTTTTTGGAGATATCATTGTTAAAAAATTAATATCACATTTTAAATATGTTGAATCTAGGATAACCACTAAAGTTTGTGAAGATTTTGACAAGAAGACAGATGAAGTCCCACTTACCAGATGTCTAAATATTTAAAAGTTATGACTCAAGTTATAAAGTGCTAAAATAAGTATGCTCTATTCTTCCAAATGACTGGAAGGCCAGGTGTGAGTTTAGAATTCTCAGATCCTTGGAGTTCTGAATGGGAATATCAGAGTGGGGCAATACTAGCCCATCTCACTTGTCTCTTCACCCCATATTTCATTCTGTGTTGCCAGTGGTCTCAGTTATGAGTATGACAACTTCATCCAGTACATTCAAGCTCCATACACATCTCAGCAAATAGTTGCTCCTTTTCCATATCTTGGGTATACTGGTGAGCACACTGGTGTTATGATCTTTCTCCAGAAAGATGGACCTCAGAAGTGGCCTATGCAGGCTCTAGCAGGAGGTTCAGTGTATAGAGGATATCCCTTATGTGTGTATTTTAGAAGGGATCACACTGACTCTGTGGCTGCCTTGCTCAGTGAAGATGGGTATGATGAGAGAAGGCAAGTGTGATTCCTCTTAAATATGGGATCCTAGATAGGGGCTACTCTTGCCTGGATCTAAAGGCAGAAATGATTGACTATATCAACAACTTTGTGAAAAGTGAAATCACACATGGCATGAAGTAATCTTGTAATTTTTAAAAATTGACTTCTCTACAAATAACTAGTACTAGGTATGAAGAAACCAAAGCTCTCATTATAATTACCCATTAAACATGTATTGAGCACAGCTTAAGAAAAATAGAATAGAAACTTCTAATATTTTACATGAGGTAAATTTATTATTTATATTTAAAGAATAGATTTTGGGGAAATATTTTAAGACTAAAACAACCCCTCATTTTGAGATAAGTTTTTGAATATACTTCATAGCTGTTCTTCATTTTATATTTAATTGAATTTTTTATTTATTAATTTTTAGAGAGAGAGAGAGTGCGAGCAAGAGAGAGATCAGTTTGTTGCTCCACTTATTTATGTATTTATTCGTTACTTCTTGTATGTGCGCTGACTGGAGATCGAACATGCAACCTTGGTGTATTAGAATGATGCTCTAACCAAATGTACTACCCTTGCCTGGGACTCATTTTATACTTAAAAGTCTTTTTATAGTATAGGAGTTAGTATGTGTGAACATAAAATTATTAATACATTCTCACTGTGAAATATACATGCATTTCTATCAGCTTTATCTTTATTTTCTTTTCAGTTTTTTTTAAATGTGGTGTCATGCTGTTTGAATCCCATGCACAGAGCAAATAGAATTAATAAAGAAGGGAAATCAACTGTCTCAAGAATCAATTATCTTCTAATTTCAAAGGAATAGCAATATATTATTCCCGAAGGTCAAATCCATTCATATATTATAGGTTCACAAAGACCATTGATTGTCTTTCATGTCTTTCCTTCTTTCTGGTAATGATCTTAATTTTCAAGCATAATCATTTTTAAAGAAGGCTTTAAATATGAATATCAGATTCACCTGCAAGCTTTTTATAAATGCAAATATTGGGGCCCTGACCCCGACCTACTAAACTCAGAATCTCTACCAGTAGGGTACATATATATTCTAACAGTTATTTCAGGCATATCTGATATACACTAAATTTTGAAAACCACTGTTCTATATATAATTGAAAAGTTTAAAAGAACATATTTACACTCTAATGGACATATATTTATTTAGCTTCTCTTATATGCCAAGCCCTCTGGGGATACAAAAATCAGGAGGAAATGGTTCCTTCCCTCAGAAAGTTCATAGTTCACTTGGTTACACATACCTACCATGTGCCAAACTTTATGTTAGGCCTTCAAGGCTGTATATAAGGAGAGTTCAGTCCTCAGGTGTTTATAATCCTTATGGTCTTGCAAAATACATATATATAATACATATATGTTTCAGTATGAGTAAATATTATATGGCATCTTTTAAAAAGATTTTATTTATCTTTAGAGGGGAAGGGAAGGAGAGAGGGAGAGAAATATCAATGTATGGTTGCACCCCCTGCTGGGAACTGGCACCTGTTGGGAACTGGCCTGCAACCCACAAATGTGCCCTGACTGGGCATTGAACCGCGATCAACTGGTTCGCAGGCCCACGGTCAATCCACTGAGCTACACCAGCCAGGGCTTTATATGACATTTTAAATACTGAGAAATGTGTATTAAGAAGGAAATATTTTAAGACATTGTGAATATATTGTTATTATTTTACAATAAAATATATTTGAATTTTTATTTTGTTTTGAGAAATATTCTTTTGATTAAATGACATTTTTATTGTTCTTTAAAAATTATTAAGAAAGTTTACATCTATAAAATAGTGAATTGTGCTTTAATGAGAATAATACATTTTTTTTTTCAATAGTTGAAAGAAGAAGAAGGTATAATATTAATTACCAAATCAAGGAGCTTGGTACTCTTATTCCAAAGACTAATGATCCGTGAGTTCAATAACCATTTCTATAATAAAGTTATGGTTTTAATACCCTACAAAATGGGTGGGAGGGAAGAAGGATAGAGGAGGACTAATAACTAGGAAGCCAAGGAGCTTATGGTAGAGACAAATCTATTTTTGATTTTATTTTAAAATATTTATTCAAGGATGAAAGCCATTAAGCATCAAAGTTGTCACTAACAGTCATCCTTTTGAGCTGTAAAAAATAAGTAAATTATTTCTTTTTAGTTTATAGTGGGTCTTTCTGTATAACACCAATACTGACAAACTTATTGTTAGTGTCACATGATGTCTAAAACAGTACTATACTTAATTTATGGTTCTAACAATTCTTCAAATGTAAGATTTGTGTGTGCATGGACATTGGAATGTCAGATTTTTATAGGTTCCAACATTCTGGAGACATGCAAGTAAAAAATAAAATTATAAAAAAACATGCTTACAGATTTCAACTAGTAATTGATTATTGTAATGAAATTTTTAGCCAAGTTTTGGTATCATACATACAAAACCAGTTAAACAAGATGTTTGAACTAAAATTAATATAGGTGGGATAGGAATAAGAGGAAAAAAGAAAGAAAGAATGGCTTAAGAGATGTCTAAAGGAAACAGAACTGATTTTGAGATGACAGAGGGAGAGGGAATACTAAGAATGAGGAATAAAAACCAGGCTAAGACAGGGAAAAATTAATATTTGATATGGAAAAAAAGAAAGAAAAAAATTTTAAAAAGGTCAGGATGAAAGAAAAAAAGAGAAAGTAAAAAAGCAGGCTAAGACAACAAAATTAAAATTTAAGAAGGAAAAAGAGTAGGGGAGGGGAATGGTAAAATTTGAGATTTGAAATACAAAATTAGTGAAGATCTAAAAATAAAAATGAAAAAAAAAGATACAATGACTACTCTATCCACAATCAATGAACAAAGATTGATAAATGTAGAGATAGAATGCAGGTATTTTAAGAGCAGGAAAAAAATGTGAGATGACCATTAACAACAAAATTGACTTTGAGAGGCTGGATGGGGGTGAAATAGCAAGAGTGCAGAATGGAAACAAGTCATAGCATGAGAGAATATAAAATTTAAAATGAAAATAAGAGGAAAGAGGAAGGTAAAATGAGGTAAGAGGAGAAAGGAGTAAAATATGTGAATTTAAATAAACTATAGTATAAAATCTAGTGACTTAATATGCACAAACTTGAAGGCCAAGAAATTTGTGTTAAAAAGCTATACAGGAAAGAAAATATCACCGATCATGGAGAAGTCTGTGGTGGATTTCATCTCAGTAACATCTAGTATTTACCACTGTTTTTTTTTTTTTTTTTCTGTGTCAGCCTCTGGTGATGTCATATGGTGTTAGACTTTTAGGGATCTACTGTCTGTGGCTGACTCCTTGAGTTATTAATCTAGTTAATCTGCACTGAGGTTTAAGCACCACAGGAAGGGGCTGAATCCCTCCTGGGTCAGGCTATTGTTTCCCCTCAAGCTGCTTCCAGCTACTCTCTCAGTTCTCTCCCCAAAGCTTCTGTCCCCAGTCTTTCTTCAAGTGTCTCTAGTCCACCCTGCCCCCCTCCCCTTTGCTAAAGCCTAGGGTAAGTAACTGCAAATGAAAATTTATGTGCTGGCTGTTTAAACAGCTCTTTGCTTCTACCGCCATCCAATTCTGGTAGAGAGCAACCCTGTCCCTTTTCACAGCTGGCTATTATCTGAGTACTTTTTAGGCTCTGTTGCTCTAGGCTGGGGATCCCAGCTTAGGGTTTAGATCCCACACTTCTCTGGGGGATCCAACCAGCTGCTTAAATGTCCCTTCGCCACTTCAACTGCCCCGAGTGGGTGCCTAGCCAGCCCTAGCCAGCCCTCTTGTGTCTCCACTGCACTCCCTACCAGTCACGTGGAGCTGAAGCTGATTCTTCTGTCTGTCCGAGGTTTTAAGGCTTCTCTCTCAATATTATTCAGTCATTTTTTTCTGGGTGGTTTTCCCACAATTTAGTTGTAATTCTAGTTTGGTCCTGGGAGGAGATTAGTGTAACTTCCACTTACTTCTCAGTCATCTTGGATCAGCTCATTTGTTATTGATAGTGCTGTGTGTGGTGGATCTTTCTTTCCAATATGGTTCCTATTTTTTAATCTATTTACTTTTTCTTCCTTTTTTTCTGTCTCTCACTTTTTAATTTACTTTTATTTGATTTTATTTTCTGTTTAAATCTAATAGTATGTGCTTCCCTTCTCTTATTCCATCCTGTCTTCTTCATTCCTTTTTTATTTATCATGTAAATTTTACTTTCTCTCTTTGCATTGCTCAAATTTGCAACTCTTGTTAGTGCTCCTCCCTCTATCCTCTCAAAACCATTTTTCTTTTGGGAGGTCATCTCATATTCACTCTCCTTTCTTATAATACCCTTAATCTCTTTACACCCTTATTTTTACTGGTTTATTTGCTGTTGATAGTAGTAGGGGGTGCAAGTTATTTTTGAGGGTGTGGGTTTATTTCCTGGACTTTGTGGTTTTGTTCTGGCAGCACCTGCACAACAGCATACAAGACATGGTGGGTGGAGTGGCACTAAGTCAACCAGCAGGAGGGAAGGACCCACCAAAGAATGGCCCAGCAATAGTCAAAACCCAATTACATCCAGAGAGTCAACATAAACAGCATAAATTATGCAATACATGAAAAGAACTTAACTGATATATATAAAATCTTTTATCCCAGGAAGCAAAATACACATTCTTTTTAAATGCATATAAAACATGTTCAAAGATAGACCACATAAAACAAGCCTCAACAAATTCAAGAAAAATGAAATCATGTCAAGCATTTTCTCAGACCACAAGCACTTGAAACTACAAACCAACCTCCAGGAAAAAACTCAAACTCAAATTCATAAAGACTGAATACTATGCTATTAAATAATGAATGGGTGAATAATGAGCCAAGGAAGAAATCAAAAAGTTTCTGAAAACAAATTAAAATGAACACACAACAGTTTAAAAACTATGGGATACCACTAATACAGTCCTGAGAGAGAAGTTCATAGGAATACAGGCCTACCTAAAAAAGATAGGCATATTTAAAATAAACATCCTAACACTGCATCTAAAAAAACCTAGAGGAACAATAATAAAGCCCAGAGTGAGTAGAAGGTAGGAAACAATCAAAATCAGAGCAAAATTAAATGACATAAAGACTAAAACAACAATTCAAAGGATCAATAAATCTAGAAAAAGAAAAACAATTGTTTTCTTCTTTCAAAATATAAACAAAATTGACAAGCTTTTAAACAGTCTCATCAAGAAAAAAAGTGAGAGGCTTGACCCAAATAAGTAAAATCAGAGATGAAACAGGAGAAATTATAACTGATACCACAGAAATACAAAGGATTGTAGGATATTATTACAAACAAGTATATGCCAAAAACTTTGAAAACCTGGGTGAAATGGACAAATTTCTAGATACATATAATTTTCTTAATCTGAGTCAAGGAGAAGCAGGAAGCTGAAATAGATGAATAACAGCTAGTGAAATTGAAGCAGTAATAAAAAAAAACTCCTGGGACACAAAAGCCATGGACTGGATGTTTTTACAGGAGAATTTAACAAAACATTTAAGAAAGAGCTAACCCCTATCCTTTTCAAACTATTTTAAAGAATCCAAGAAGAGGGAAGATTCTCAAACTTCTTTTATGAGGCCAGCATCATCCTAATCCCCAAACCATATAAAAACACAACAAAGAAAGAACACTACAAGCTGATATTACTGGCAAACATTGATGCTAAATGTTTGGCAAACATCAATGGCAAACATTGATGCTAAAATCCTGAACAAAATATTGACAAATCACATCCAGCACTACATTAAAAAGATCACATACCATGATCAAGTGGGATTCCTGACAGGAATGTAAGGATGGTACAATATTCACAAATCAATAAACATAATACATCACATAAACAAAAGGAAAAACAAAAATCATATGATCATATCAATAGATGCAGAAAAACATTCAATAAATTACACCACACATTCATGATAAAAACAGTAAGTGGGAGTAAAGGGAGCTAGCACACCTCAACATAATAAAGTCCATATAAGAATAATCTACAGCCAACATAATGCTCAATGGGAAAATCTAAAAGCTTTCCCACTAAGATCAGGGACAAGACAAAGGTGTCTACTTTCACCACCTTTATTCAACATAGTATTGGAAGTTCTAGCCACAGTGATCTGACAAGAAAAAGAAATAAAAGGCATCCAAATTGGAAAGGAAGAAGTGAAACTGTCATTGTTTTCAATGACATAATTGTGTACATAGAAAACCCTATAGACACCACCAAAAAACTCGACATAATAGTGAATTTGGCAAAGCAGCAGGATACACAGTCAATATTCAGTTTTTGTACACCAACAATGAAATACCAGAAACAGAAACCAGGGAAACAAATCTCATTTGCTATAGCAACAAGAAAAATAAAGTGCCTAGAAATAAACCTAACCAAGGAGGTAAAAGACCTGTACTCAGAACACTATAGAACACTGAAGAAAGAAATTAAGAAAGACACAAATAAATGGAAGCATATACTGTGTGGATTGGAAAAATGAACATCATCAAAATGTCCATACTATCCAAAGGAATTTATAGATTCAATGCAACCCCTATTAAAATACTAACGACATATTTCACAAAGAACATACATTTCAAAAATCTATAAGGAACTATATAAACAACCCCAAATAGCCTCAGCAATTTTGAGAAAGAAGAACAAAGTAGGAGGTATCACAATACCTGACATCAAACTGTATTTACAAGGCCACTGTAATCAAAATACTCTGGTACTGGCATAAGAACAGACACATAGTCTAATGGAACTGAATAGAGAGCCTAGAAATAAACCCATGTATCTACTAGGTCAATTAATATTGGACAAATGGGGAGGAGCATAAAATAGAGTAAAAATAGACTCTTAAACAAATGGCATTGGGAGATCTGGACA